GATTGTTGGTATCTGCAAGCACTAATCTGATTGGTGACTTAGACAATACTTGTCTATTATCAGCAAGTGATGATAGTTTATTAGAATAAAAATGGTTATTTATGTTTGATGTAGGGGATGGGTATGCTGAGATGGCATTTGTACTTCAATACAACCTACATAGCAATGCATCATGGATAAATATTAGCACTGTTAAAAGCTCTTACCCGCAAATCATGAGAATATTGTACATTTCTGGATCGTCTGGAAAGGGGACTTCTTTCTGAAGGCAGAGCTGTTCACAGCCACCGTTAAAGCCATCCGAACAGTCAACCCCCATCTGGCGATTGTAGCATCCTGATTGGTCCTTCATAGGACTAAGTCCTGGAGGGCACTGCAGAGAAAGATTGATGCTTACTGGTTCCATCATAAAATGCACTAATGTATTACCTTCTCTAGCCCTGATATCATTCTGCATATGCACATTCATTTGTTCAAGAGCCTCTCCGTGATTCCATGCTACATTTAGAGTGAACATAAAAAAGAAAAAAATACTTGAAGTGTTTATAATTTATTTGTGTGTTGCTGTACCAAATATAAAACATTTTAATCAAGTGCCTGACAATTGATCTGCTTGCTGGAGAAGTTCACATCATTTTTTTCCCGTCTTGAGAGTTTAGTTTATGGAATATAAACCACTTTTTAGCAGGAATGACACCGCTGCCGCGGGAAGATGGCGTTGCTAAGCAACTGCTTTGCAAAACTTCAAGAACAAGTTTGGCTTCATGCTCAAAAAATAGATAAAGCCTACAATAATCACACTGAAATCGGGCCAACGATAAAAAGAAGAAAAAGCCAAATATGTAAAAAATAACAATTTAGCTGAAATATCTTGGCAAAGTAACTCAATCATACAGTTAAACCGGTTTAAGTTAACATGTTTTAGTACTTTATATTTCGTTTACACTCTTCTATTTCGGATGCACTCTTCATGTTATTAGTTTTATTTAATTGCTACCTTAATCCTTCTTTTTGATACTCTTTGTAATATTTTATTAATTCTGTCAACTTTTTAAACTCTAACTTGCTGTCACAGAACACCCTTAAACATATAGAAAAAATGCTTCATTGCTCCTAACCAGTTTGCGCTTGCAGCTCACAGCAACCTTAATTCAAAAGGCAGTTTGTGTAAGTTCAGCACCACCTACATAACACCATAACACACAACACTAGTAGGAAAATTGCAGAAATAGGACTATAAAGGGAATACAAACACTCAGACATCAATTAAAAAGAAATAATAATTCTAATTTTTAGCATACATAGTTAAACCATCAATTTGTAACAAAACACATGTCCATTGAGTTCAACCTACAGACAAGAACAAATAAAAAAAACCCGGCAACCTCAGAAACCAAAACTTGAGATTGACCAAGAGGAAGGCAAATGCCCATATAAAACATGATTCAATTTGTTCTAACAGGGTCACTCTCTGAATTAATAATCTAAAGTATTATTTCTCATAATTAGTTATATTTTGTGCATTTACAAACACACCCAGCCTTTTTTTTGGAGAGGCATAATCTACTGAATTTGCTAGAGCCAGCTCCTATTAAAGACTATTCCACATTTTCACAGCTCTTACTCTAAAGAATCCTTTAGGTACGTGGAGTTAAACTATAGGAAACACAGGGGAAGCAACAAATATTTGAAAAAAATATATTTTATTTTAATGTGAAAGAAAAGTTTTAAATAATATATCACTGCAATGAGCCAATTAGCCTGGCATAAATATAATGCCAGGCTCATTAAAAACAAAAATATATATTTTACCTGCAATATGAAAGTCTCCCCCTAGCCTTGGTATCTACTGTGCCTGGTAGTTCAATGACCAGTCCTGTTCCACAGCGTTGTCTCCTTTTGCCATCACAAGTAAAGGATAGCATGGCATTTGGCTGTACAGTTTGTTCTTTTTGCTGTTCACAGGTTGGCCAGAGAGAGGGGTCACTTTGATATGGCTGACAGGTTTTAAAATGGATTGCAATATGTGAAAAATGAGAATCCTGATTGTTAAAGAAAAACTCCTTTAAAAAATATGGATAATATAGAGAAGAGTTAGAGTTTATGTCAGGTTTTTACTGCTGTGTTCCCTTGGGGGAGATATCGGGGTTGATTTACTAACCTTATAAACACACCACGAACATGTATACACCTCTTTAGTGTGTTCCCTCCCAGCATGATCTATGGGTGGAATCTAAACACCTTTGTAGTGTGTTGTGCAAAGCCCTGCATGAATTGCAAGGTGATGTTGTGTAAATTAGCTCTATGTTGTGTTGCTTGCGTTGATGAATGCAGGAATGTAAATGTATGAGCTAACCATTTTTGTCTAAACTGTGAAGCAGCATTATATATGCATCATGTGCATGATTTTTCCATATATGGCATTAGTGGAAATATGCTCTTAGAGACTTTTTGGTTGATAAATACGTTTTGCTGTGTGAAAATCACACGCACCTGGTTCGTGCGTGTGTTTAGGTTAGTAAATCACCCCCATCCTCTCACTGCATATGTGTTTGAAGAGACAGAAAGTGAAATTTCCCAAATGGGGCCCAGACAGCAATGAGACTTGATAGAGGAAGAGAAGGCAAGGTCGGCACTCCAGTTTTGGGGAAAGTACAAATCCTATCATGCCTCTGCCTCTAGGAATCATGCTTGTGGCTGTCAGAAGCAAGACCATTTAAAAAAGTGTCAATTATTTAATAATGGATTATTGTTTTTATATGGGGAGTTACTGAAACCACAGATATAACCAGTTAGCATTTTAACTACTTTAGTTTTATTGGGTATTGCCATACCTGTTTTTGAGCTGCATCAGAGACTCTTTATCATAAAGAAGACACATTTTCAGTTTATCTTGATACTCTGCATAAACCACTCGAGCTACGACCTCACTAAATTTGAAATTCTACCCAGTGATATTTTTAGAACATTCGGTACAGTGTATACCTTCACCAAGGCTAGACTGATTTCACAGGTTCCTTTAACATGAACAGGACACTCATTGTAAACTGGGTAGAGAGCTACAATGAAAAGGACAGGTACACCCCCCCAGAATGTGATAAAATGGATCTGTTCTATACAACCTATTAATACGTTTTCATTGGCGTTATGCATTTAGCAATGAAAAAAAAACCAACACTTAACACTAAAGAGCCTAACCCTATACATCAGCCTAACCATTATTTTTGCCAAAATGTTCTTTGTAGTTCATGAAGAGCATTTCCAGGGAGCTAACAAGACCAATTAGTGAGATACTACTGCTTGTTCAGCTGTTGGCTGTTACCCAAGCAGCCCTCTATAAAGAGAGTCTTCCTGTTTCAATTTTTGCCTATAGGTATAGGTTCTGCTTCCTGCGTGTGCCTGGCTTTGGTTGGTTTGATTACTGGTTACCGAACTCCTGCGTGCCCCCCACCTGCTACCGGATTATCCTCTGTACTGTGCCACCTGTTTGTCAATGTGCCAATAAATGGACTATTGCTTTATTATGCTTTGGAGTGCTGGTGACGTTATTTCTCTTTCTGTTTGTTACTGACACAGCTTGGATTTTGACACTGCTTCTCCTGGTTTACCCCTGTGGAACTGTTGTCTCCTGTTAGTTGCTGACCTGGCCTGGACTTTGATGCAGGTACTACGCTGTTCAGCTTACCGGTTACTGACCCTGGCTGACACTATACTGTGAGTCACTCTTTTACTATTCTTATATATTACTGTTGCTCTACTTGCACATCTTTCACTAGGTCCCTGTAATTTTCCAGCTGCAAGATTCCTATTTGTCACTCCACCTGACACCAAGATAACAAGACTACCGATTAGGAAATTGGTTTGACGTGTGGGACCACTTGGCAGGCCTGACACTTCCAATGGTGAAATGCCCTGGAAACTCTGTCATGTACAGGGAGACTGCCCTGAAGACCCTAAGACTATAAAGGGAAACACCTGCTTGGAGAGATACAAAATTGCCATTGAAAGCCTTGGGGAGAGGGGCTGTGTCCATAGGAAAACAAAATTGCCTTGCTTACGGACTTTCTGACTGCACAAATACAATCAAATGACCTTTGATAACTTTTTGTTAAGACTGAATCTCTACAGTTAGTCTAGGCTCAGAAAGGAACAAAGATCTTCTCTATGTACCATTAAAGCTTTTTAAAGACATGCCAGCTACCTTCCTTTCAAACTGACCTGACTGTCCCGGGACCTCGCCCACACCCAGGCCCTACAGCACCTGCCTTGGCAATTGAGGCTTTAATTACATTATTGGCTTCAGCAATGCCTGGATGGATAATGAAATATGGAACATGCAGACTGTTCTTTTAAAAAATGTAAAAGTTTTATTTTATTGTAACCTAACTTCTAATTCTAACCATCAGCCAAACTATTATTTTCACAATGAAAGTTTCTTAAATTGACACTAAACTCAGGAGTGAAACCTGAAAAATGCAGTCAAGTACCTTAACTGTTAACAAACAATGTAATGTGGCTTAAACCAATTTCTGTCCAAAACAGCATACAAACTTTAGGGCAGGTGTTACTGAAGCGCATAATAAAATTAGGTATGAACGTGCATACAACCTGATATACACTGTATTACCATAGAACAATCATGTTTAGGTATTTTCTCTCTCCTTGGCTCTAAAGATGCTGGGTGGAGTAATAATCTGTAACTGCAACCAGTGGTGGTAGTATAGTCTTATATAGCTGTAATGTTGTATACTGATATAACCAGCAGCACTACACACTGTTTTGGGCACTCACAGTGGATAACAGCAAAAGTAATCCAAGGAGCCTATGTAAAGTTTCCGTCATTACTGGAATAATCTCTGAGTACCTAATTTTAACATTGTTTATTTGGGGCTTGAAACTTACATCCTATCTATGCTTTCCTGTACATAAGAATAACTGGGGATTCTTGCACCCTGGGTGCAGAGTGCGTAATAACATATATATAATTTGTTTCCAAAATAATGTTATAAAAACTGTACACTTCTAAGTTTACATAGTGTCACACAGTGTACATTTACGTGATAAAACATATTCAGCAGAGCCATTCTAACATATTCTCTTTTATACAGTACAGCAACCTTAGGCTGCAGCATAGAGCATTGGGATATTTATATAAAATATATTGATAGCTGTCAGACATGTTGCACTAAATAAAACAATGCATTAATACCGTAGTATTCAAATGTCACTATTGTACTTGTTCATGCCAGAGTCAGATACAACAATTCCATATTCACAGGCCTTAGAGATAAAATATTTTTTTACTATGTGACATTTTGCTACCTCTGTCCTCTAGACTCTGTGCAGCTGTCCTTATTGCCTCTGCTAGCTACA